ATTTTTCTAATTTTAACACAAATTTAAGGAAATAAATATAATTTATTACACACAGGAAAAACCCTTGGTACAATAGCCGCCAACAGTTTTGTCTTCCTTATCGGCACTTTCCAGTACCAAGTTTTGGCACCTTCCAGAATAAAGTTTTGGTCTTCAAATACAACAAGGTGAAGTTCCATACCGTTACAAGAATCGAGAAAGACAGAGAAACATGGCGGAAGGGATAATCAAGAAGAAGGTCATGGTGGCCGTCGACGAGAGCGATTGCAGCTATTACGCCCTTCAGTGGGCCCTTGAGAACCTCGCCAACACCATCTCTGATTCCCAGCTCATCATTTTTCACTCCTCCAACCCTATCGGTTACGCTTCCCTCGCCGCCGCCACTTACGGCGCACCTCGTACGTTCTCTCATCTCCTCTCTCCCTTTTTTTTTTTTTTTCTGGGTTTTGCGTCTTGTTTCAGATAGAATAAATTTCAATGAACCCTTCTAAAGTCTGATCATAAAGGTCTTGAGCAAGAATCTTAACAAAGGCACTTTATTTTGGACTGGTTTTGGTTTTCTTTAATTCACAAATTTTTTAATCGACTGCAGCTCCGGGTTTAATCGCCAACATTGAAGAAAATCAAAGGAAGCTAACCTCAGCCTTATTGGATAGAGCTAAGGATGTTTGCGCCAAACATGGGGTATGAAATATGAATGTGATTAAATCGATTTATTTCCTAATTCGTGGCGTACTATTTGCTTCTTCTCTTTTTTATCCAAATGGTTGTTTCACAGTATTTCTTGTGTAAGAGTAAATCTACCTTAATCACATGTGTTAAGTTTTTCATTTGTGTTGGCAGGTTGTTGCAGAGACAATCGCAGAGATTGGGGACCCGAAGGAGAAAATTTGTGAGGCTGTCGAAAAGCTGAGCATCCAATTGCTTGTTTTGGGTAGCCATGGTCGAGGAGCTATAAAAAGGTCAGTCCAAGATGTAAAATATTGTTGATCTAATTCCTTTGTTCGCATTTGAGTTATCATAATTTTGTGTTTGTAACTGTGTATGGATGCATCTTGGGTATTGAATATTGATCCTGGTTTTATTGGAGCAGGGCTTTTCTGGGAAGTGTCAGCAATTACTGTGTTCATAATGTTAAATGCCCTGTTCTTGTGGTGAAGAAAGCAGTTTGATGGTAAGCTGCTTAGCTGCCGTATCCTGTATTTGTGAAGACAGGACAACTACTCTGGTTCCAAGTAAAGCATTCAGAATTCTATGTCAATAATCATTCGTTACCAGCTTAGTCTTATTATACTTGCTTGTTGATGCCGTATATTCTGGTTGAGATTATGCGTAACTGGAATTTGATGTTTATAAATAAAATACAATTGCAGCTATTGCTCTCTCTTTTTTACAACATGTGCATCCATACCTTTGGACGATTAATCCCATTGGGTGTTTTCTTTGGAAACGATCAAATGTAACATTCCAAGTGTTTCTTTTTCAGTAAGATTGTCATTTTGAAAGGTCTTGGTAGATAGGTGCTGTTGAAATGATTCCATTAGAAGGCCAGGGACGGAGCCAGAAAACAGTCTTTGGGGGGCGGGGGGAAGTGTTATATGAAATGCATATGTTAAAAATGAATTCCTTGACTTGTAATTTATAAATGAGATTAAGATTTAAATATACAAAAATTAAAATTTTAAAAGCCTTAAATGTAGAACAATTTGTTAAAATTTATGTGTATTTAAATTTCAATATGAAATATAACTTCTATTGCAAAATATCACTTAATATAATCAAGAAAAAAAAATTAAATGTTTTAAAGAATTGATCATACTAATTTCAAGTCAATTTTATTTTATTGTTAGATACAAATAATTATTAACTTTACATATATTACAATGTCAAACATGTCAAATAAATAAAAATATTTTGTTAAATTTAT